GATACACAAAGGAAAAATCTTGGTGAAATAGCCTAAGATTTGGACTCTTTTAGACTATTGTCACCTAAGGAAACAAAAAAGTCAGTGCCCTAAGCCAGTTTTAGAATGTGCACAAAAACATGTTTCCCTGTAGGCCATTCATACTGCCTGTAATGAAAACAGGCTCAGTTATAAAAATTAACCTAAAAGAATAGGAGGCTGACTCTTAAGAACAGGTAGTTTTGAAAGAAAAGAGTGATAACTTGTGAAACAGATTTCCTCTCATGTAATGTTTACTTATTTGATTACTATGCAAACATCTTACTATGTCCCTAAACTTTAAGGCATTCCTTAAATGGAATAAAGATTTGTTTCTTTTCATAGCAAGAACACTGTAATCTATTCCTAGGTGGGAGAATTACTGGAATAGAGCTTGCATATTTAACAACAGTACCACAGTGTTTTTAAATGATTGCTTCAAAGGGTTGCTTTCAAATAAAAACCATTCTCCCTATTCCAGTAACATCTAGATTACCTACTTTGGGGCTCTCCTCTATGTCTCATTGGGTCAAAGTCAACCCAAGGGACCAAAAATTACCTCTTGTGAAAGCAGCAGGAAGGCAGTGATTATATATTGACAACCCTACCTTGTCAATAGCAAACACTCAGGAAAGGGGTACTGAGTTAATTTGATGGCGTGATAAACACAATGTTTTTGAGAGGGGCAGAGTGGGGACATTTTGATGTGAGAAGGCAACTTTGTCTAACTACCTAAGGAGTGCATTAATGGATCTCCTTAGCTAAGCAGCAGTAAGACTACAAGACTTCAGTCAACAAGCCAACTAATTCTGTCACTGAGGTCTCAGAGCCAATATGAAGTAATATCTTGGAGCAGTCCCTGAAATAAATCAGGAAAAACAACCAATTTCTATTTAGCACAATACACTGCATACAGGAGACATTCAATTAATGTCTTATGACTCTAAAGGTGACAATAAAGATGCTCCTCTCATCATCTACTATAAAGGTGCCATTCTACTCAATTCATTCAACAAACATTTGTTAAGTATTGTAGGCACTAGGGATATAGTAGTGAGGAAATAAGATGAAAATTATTACTTTCCAGGAACTTGCATTCCAGTTGGAGTGGAGAAAAGTTAGACAATGGATAACTAAATTGTATAGTATATTAGTGCTAAATGCTTAGGAGAAAGATAAAGCAGGAAGAAAGTATGAAATGTTGAAGAGGTATTTAAATGGCAAATATGGTGATCAGGAAAGAGCTCCTTAGAAAGGTGACTTTTAGTAAAGATTTAAAGAAAGTGAAAGTCCAAGTCATATGGATATCAGAGGGAAAAGCCTTCTGGACAGTGGTGACAGTGTATGCAAAGGCCCTGGAGCAGAGGAATTTCAAGCAACAGCAAAGAGGCCAATGTGGTTGTGCACAAGAGATGAGAAATGTGGGCGGAGAGGGCAAACCACCAAAGCCCTGCCCGGTCACCTAACTGCTGTATGTATCAAGAGAGATGGGAAGTGATTAGGGTTTTGAGCAGTGGAGTGACATTACCTGACTTAGGTTTGAACAGGCTCACTCTGGCTGCTCTGTGGAAAGTAGACAGCAGGAGAGTCAAACTGGGAAGAGGAGCTATTTGCTTTAAAATGCAGAGTCTGGAGTTTGTGGGTTTTCAGGAGATCCCAAATGATTCTTTTTTTTTTTTTTCATTTTTATTTATTTATTTTTTATTTATTTATTTATTTTTACAAATAGTTTATTGTCAAATTAGTTTCCACCCAGGTGATTCTTATGCACGGTAAAACTCAAAGAACTTCTGCTTTAAATTATCTAAGCAGTCGAGACAAAAACTGGTTTTATGATCTGATTATTGGGTAACCACTAATCCACTGCTTCATTTTGCCTGTGGAGGAACAGGATCTAAGCCATTAGACTAAATTCAACCAACAACCTGCCTATTCTGCCAAATAGTTCCAAACAGTGCTTCCAAAACAGAACTGCAAAGGGATCCTGGCCTCTTGTTCTGTGACGCAGGATACCCTCTGAGAGAAACCTCTAGGAGCATGAAAGTAGAACTGATGCAATCATTCAGTGACAGTGTATTTGATAAAGTCGCAGAGCATGTACTCCATACGTTTCAGGATCCAAAAGTTTCAGGTTTCAGCTAAAATAGAGCATCTGAGCAGAGGATTTTCCAAAAACTTTTAAAGTAAACATTTTCATTCTCTTTTTAATTAGAACTTAGTATGGAACCACAAAAGATCACTTTCTCACACCATACACAAAAATAAACTCAAAATGGATAAAGAACCCGAATGTGAGACAGGAAACCATCAAAACCCTTGAGGAGAAAGCAGGAAACAACCTCTTTGACCTCCACCGCAACAATTTCTTACTTGACACATCCCCCAAAGGCAAGGGAATAAAGAGCAAAAATGAACTATTGGGACCTCATCCAGATAAAAAGCTTCTGCACGGCAAAGGAAACAATCCATAAAATTAATAGGCAACTGATGAAATGGGAAAAGATGACATGCAAATGACATATCAGCTAAAGGATTAGTATCCAAAATCTATAAGGAACTCCCCAAACACCACACCTGAAAAACAAATAATCTAGTGAAGAAATGGGCAGAAAACATGAACAGACACTTCTCCAAAGAGGACATCCAGAAACGATGCTCAGCATTCCTCATCATCAGGGAAATGCAGATCAAAACCACACTGAGATACCACCTCATGCCGGTCAGAGTGGCTAAAATGAACAAATCAGGAGACTCGAGATGCTGGCAAGGATGTGGAGAAATGGGCACCCTCCTACACTGTAAACTGGTGCAGCCCCTCTAGAAAACAGTGTGCAGGTTCATCAAAAAATAAACAATACAACTCCCCTATGACCCAGAAGTAGCACTGCTAGGAATTTACCCAAAGGATACACGAGTGCTGATGCAGAGGGGCACATGTACCCCAATGTTCATAGCAGCACTCTCAACAATAACCAAAACATGGAAAGAGCCTAAGTGTCCAACAACTGACGAAATGATCAAGAAGATGTCATTTATCTACACAATGGAATACTATATGGCAATGAGAAAGAATGAAATCTGGCCATGCGTAGCAACATGGGTGTTATGCTGAGCAAAATAAGTCAGGCAGAGAAGGACAGATACCATATGTTTTCACTCATAGATGGATTAGGAGAAACTTAACGAGGACCATGGGGGAGAAGAAGGGGAAAAATAGTGGGGGAGAGGGAGGGAGGCAAACCATGAGAGACTCTTGAATGCTGAGAACAAATTGAGGGCTGATGGATGTGGGGGGGAGGGCGGAGATGGGCATGGAGGAGGGCACTTGTGGGGATGAGCACTGGGTGTTATATGGAAACCAACTTGACAATAAACTGTTTGTAAAAAAAAAAATTCTGTGGTTTTGGCCACCTATTCTGTGGCATTCTGTTATGGCAGCCTGAGTAGATTAAGACAATAGCTAAGGCTTTTTTCCCTTGATATTTTCTGGTAACTTCTACAGCAGCTTTGCTCTTCAGCCCCAGTTGTGACATGTATTCGTTTCTGGGGAAAAGCTTTGAAGGCTAGTGCATGGTCTGACACTTCCTGTTCATCCTGATAGGGCAGCTGTGGAAGCCTGTGCTGAGAAGCAGCTTATGTCCACTGTGGGTCCTGAGTGGCCAGATGGGCAGAGTGCCTTCCGGATCATGTGTGTAGCATGAGACAGAGAGGTTTGTTGTGTTATGCGACTGAGCATTGGGATACTTGTTTCCACAGCACTGCNTGAGAGACTCTTGAATGCTGAGAACAAATTGAGGGCTGATGGGGCTGGGGGAGAGGGGAAGGGGGGTGATGGGCATGGAGGAGGGCACTTGTGGGGATGAGCACTGGGTGTTACATGGAAACCAACTTGACACTAAACTATGATAGAAAAAAAACAAAAAAACAAAAAAATAAATAGTTAGCACTTCTGATTCTAAATATATATGTACATATATATGTATATATCCTATTTATATATTCTAAATTTTTATTAGAATACATTCTAAATGCATATATTAAAATTTATGATTACTACTTTTTTAATGTTTATTTATTTATTTTTGAGAGACAGAGAGCACACAGGTGGGTAAGGGGCAGAGAGAGAGAGAGAAGGAGACACAGAATCTGAAGCAGACTCGAGGTCATGAACCATGAGGTCATGACCGGAGCTGAAGTCGGACAGTTAACCGATTGAGCCACTCAGATGCCCTTATGATTACCACTTTTTAAATACACTAATAGAAATTTATATTCACAAAAATTATAACAATTCTCTCTGGTTGAATTTTATAATGCTAACAAGTAGCATCTATGTGGCACTTTATAGTTAAGATAGTGAGACCCATTTCCACAAACTATACATAAAAATTTCTACTTTATAGTCATTCTATACACATACATACACACACACGTACGTTTTAGTTTGTAATCTATTCAAGAACAAAGACTGTCTTCTATTTATTTTTCTATTCTTTTATGTGCCTCTGAAGTATTTTAGATGCCTCTTCTGCATTTGCACACCACACCACATGCACCCAAGTAAATGCTTAACTGACCCCTGACTAACCAGTCTGGAGCAACCCAATCCTAACAATTAATTATCGCATATTTTGTTCCTCTGTTTGACTTCTTTGGCTCTATCATAAACAAACTATAAAATCTCCAAGGGGATAAAGCCTTCATAACTGAATGAGACTTAAATATAGTAGAGTGGATTTATTGGACCAGTGTATTATAATTCATGAGAACATTTACATCCTGCCACGATTTTTCCTTTGGCACAATTTCTCGAATGTATGCCATCATTAAGGCCTAATTTCATGTGGATTTTTATAAACGCATGTAATAAATTGAATTTTTAAGAAGCATTCATTGTTAACTGCATGATCTGTTACCAACGTTCAGGTTATTCTTTCGAATAGAGTGCAGGTAATTGACTACAAATAATGAGCACTGATTACCTTCTGGAGCGGAAGAAGCCTCTAGGTGTTGAAGTTTAAGGCCAGTGTCTAATCTTTGAGGCTTTGTATACAGAAATAAGTAGCAGAGGACGCAGACGCTGATGACAAAGGCAAGTAGAACAAGGGCAGCAGTTCCCAGGCCAACCAGGGCACCGATGCTGAAGAAAACAGGAAAAACATGGGGACCGTCACACAAACACGAGAGAGAAGATTTGAATATTGGTAATGCTTGCCTCAGTCATTCATTCCTAACCAAATTACATTTTAGTCTAAAGAGTATATGATTGAAGCTTACAGGTCACCTTTTTCTTTCATCAAATTCTTATATTTTCTTTTCCCATTGATATGTTAACATTAGTATAGAATACCATGTGAATCCATATGACAGGTGAAAGGTCACATGATTCTCTAGGCCTAGTTCAAAAGTATCTCAAGCAAATAAACCTCTCTTAATATATTTTAGGAGGAAAAATGATGTTCAGCAATAAAGATGAGTGGAAAAATACTGACGTCTGCAAATTAGCAAAGCAAATGTTTACCGGAGATGTAGAACTTTTAGAGACACGTATGGAAGATAGCACTTATTAATATATAAATCCACAACTCATACAAAAGAGGTGAAGAATGTTTAATGAAAGGAAAGCAATATTTGTGAAATTTATATCAAGTTCCTGTTTAGCCCAAGTTTTTCCTTTCTAAAAGAGCCTAACACCAGTGGCTTCTAGCATTAAGGAAGAAACCCTTGTGCTTTCCTCTACAAATAAAGAATATGTCTGATATTTTTCTCTGCACTAATTTTGTAATAATTCCTTCTAATACAGTTATCTGTAAGACTAAGCATTTAAGAAATAGCAGTTTTCATAAACTTAAGAATTTAATATTTTTAAATGGGAAAAGGAACTTGGAAAAAAAATCATCTTGAAAGTCTAATAAGCAAAACATAATGTACTTTCCTGAACCAAATGTTTGTGTGGGTATGTTAAGTATATATAAAGAAATGTTAAGTTGCTCAAGATACATACTTCTGTTGACCTTCCCATAGAGTTGGGCATACATTAATAGTGCTGAAGAGAGTACTTAGCTTGTAATAAATAGAGGTAAATGATAGTAAATAGAAGCAAATAAGTGATCAAATAAGTGACGGATCCACTTTTAGTAATTAAGAAGTAATCATCATTGAAATGGTCATCGAAAAGTAATGATCTTTTTCTTCACTATCTTCCTGGCTTGACTGCAGGGTTTCACTACTTGCTAGTGACATGGCTCCGACAAGTCTGACCTATACCAAAGGACGGGAAGGGAGAATTTGAGCAGGGATGCTAGATGTGTTAGGGCTTTGGAAAGGAGAACAGAATTAAAAAGTGAGGTGCTAACCTCATCCCATGTATCCTTGGTTTTAGAAGATAAAACACCCCTGTAATTTAGAGATTGTCTCCTTGGCCATAGATAGGGAGTTGATTTTCCAAAGATACTTGTGCTTGGTTTAGTAATGTTGGTCCAGTTCCCCTAGCCTTGCACACAGTGAAAACTGGAAATTCTGTTACTAGAGTCAGCATACAATTGTATATTTCAAGTTTGTATATATTTATTTATTTATTTATTTATTTGGAGACAGAGGGTGAGAGAGAGAGAGAGGGTGAGGGCCAGAGAGAGGGAGAGAAAATCCCAATCAGACCCTGTGCTGTCAGCACGGACACCGATGTGGGGCTGGATCTCCTGAGATCCTGAGCTGAAACCAAGAGTCAGATGCTTAACCGACTGAGCCACCTAGACGCCCCTACAGTTGTATATTTAAATCGGAGTTTGCCCTCACTCAGTGCACTCTCTTCCAGGGGTAGGCTGCCTGGCTTTGGCAACTCCTCTTTCGGGTTTGTGTTCGCCAAAGCTGACTTTTGTAGATTATATGCATCAAGGAGAGTTAGGACTATGCACAGACACATGGGAACATAATCCACTTAATTAACATTATCTGCTGCACAAGGCAGCTAGGCAGCCAGACATCCAGAGAGATTCCTGAAATGAGAATGTGAGTTATTTAAAAAAAAAAAAATCTTCAAAGTGAAAAAGCACTTTGGTCAATTTAAAAGTAAAATTGTCAATTTAATTAAATTCAACACGCAAGCCATGAGTTTTTAATGTACACAATTTAAAACACCAGCTGCATGATTTGAAGAAAAAAACCAAAACCAAAACAAAGCATCCTATTTTCTGCTTTCTATTATACTAAAAGAAGGTTCTTCACCATCTTGACCAACAGTCTGTATCACAGTTCCACTGTATAGAAATGTTGCTTAATGAGTACAAAACTCTAGGGATAAAGATGGGACTCTAGGAATCTCCTACAGCATTCATTTTGACAAATACTTCCTGAACTCATGCATTGCTCTGTGCAATATGTATTGTCTTCCCAGGTCCTGAAGAAGGTTACCAAAGGAAACTCTAAGAGAGTAAGGATTTGTAAGAGGAAAAAGATGGGAGTGGGCCAGGCACAGAAAAGGGAGAATTCTACTTTGCTCACAGAGCTGTTATGGCGGTTTGCTTTTCAGTCCCTGTGAGAGGGTCTGAGGCTGCCATCACACTAATGCTGCAATTCTCCTACTTAGCAACTTTGCTTACCTGGAAGTAGCTGTTCTGTGCCTTTCTCCAGCAGCTGCAGAATCTCAGAACAAATGCTAGTGACTTTGGGAATAGTTTTCGCGGTTGGACTATTTTAAGTTAGGGTGGAGAGCAAAGAATATGAGGAGAGTGAAGCTCTGAATTTTTACCTCCCCATTGTGTTCTCAGAGCTCAAACACTAACAAGAACCCCTGGTTTGACATTGCCAACTGATGCCATCAGCTGAAATGATTCTTCTGTTTCCTAGGAAGTGAGCTGCACTGCCCATTTTGTCCACGCTGAGTGAAGACCCCAGCAAGGTACTCATTCCTGGTGCTCTCATAAACCTTAGGAAGGTTTTCTATCCTCTGCTGCCTGTCACTTTGGGACTACTCAGGGATCTGAGAACCCCAGGCCCTTCTCCAGCTGAGTTTGACTTAAAAGTTACCAGTCTCTCTTGAGGGTCTGCCACCATTATTAACGCCTCCAAAAACTCAGAGCCGGGTTACTGGGTTATTTTCCAAAAAGCCAGATAATATGCCAATGCAATACTGATTACTTCTCCAAATAATAAGGATAAGCTGTCATTTCCTGAGATTATGCCCCACTGTGGTACAACAATACAATGTCATTAGATGGACTTATTGGTCAGTGACACTCTTTTGGGGATTTTTTTGGAAGCTTGCAATACATTTAAAAATTATTTTACTGCCTCGAGAAATAGCATTTAAAGTCATTTGCTGTAGACTTGCCATGTGTGACAAATTCTGGATCATACTAGAGAATTAGAGAAATAACACTTCCAGCTTACTGGCAGAGACTCTCTCTTGTCAGGCACAAGCTAATTGGTTTGTGAGACACAACTGGAGGTGGGTTTGGAGACATACATTCTCCAAGCAGAATGCAAGAATGGAGGTCAAAGTTTGCAGTCTTTTGGAGTAGAAGGGGGGGGCACATTTCACAATGAAGATATCTGCATAAATACTAGGTGGAATAAGTAAAATTCCCATCACAGGAAACAGAGGCAAGAAAAGCCGCACCTGAGAGTCTCTTGTCTTTCCAAGAAATGGCCAGGTGGCTCAGGCGGTAAGAAAGGGGCGCCCTGATAAGGTTCCACACAGGGTGTATTATAGCAAGTAAAACTCTCCCTGTCTGTGGGTCTCCAGTTCGGTTCAGGGTCAATGTCAGATCATCTGAAGAGAGCAAATTATAAAGTTCCAATCTCTCTCTCTCTCTCTCTGATTCCTTTTTGATTCCTTCTCACCTCCAAAGAGACTTTAAATACTCTCATCTTTGGTTAATACCTTAAAATGAGTCCCAGAGTAGCCCCCTGTCTAGTCAATTGCACCAAATGCCCAAACAGATCAAAAAGAGAATGAAAACCTCAAGTTCTCTGCGTATCTTCTCTCTGCCAGCAGAACCTCCGGCTTGGGACTAGTCCCTGGCGGGTGTGAAGAGCGGGCTGAGCACTGCGTGCGCCCTGGGCGCACAGTCCGCGCTCCTCCCGCGCCCGCCTTGCCTAGGCTCCGGGGTCCACTCGCACTTCTGGCGCCCACAGCCGGACCCTCGGCGGACCCGGGCAGCACCAAGCGGGTCCCGAGTCCCGGGGGAACTCCGAACCGGGTGAGCTTTCTCTGCAGGACCCTCACCCGCCCTCGGAGGCTCCGTGTCCTCCCGGAGGGACTCGACCCGAACGGGCGACCCTCCCACTCCCCGGGTGGCCCAGCTCGTCGCCTGCCCAGAGCCCGCCCGCCCTGCCCACCTGAGGCTCCACATATAGCTGTGCTTGTAGGGGAAGTAGCTGCCCGGCTCGCTGCAGCAGTACTTGAGGTCGGCGAAGCCGCAGCAGTAGAGGAGGGCGGCCCCCTCGCCGCTCCGGGGGCACTCGAAGGGCTCCACGAAGCTGTGGTTGAGGCTGTAGTAGCCCGAGCACACCCGGCTCGCCTCGCTCATCGCGAGCGGCTGCGGACAGGGGCACGCGAGACCCCCGATCTGCCCTCAGACCGTGGGCGTCCCGCACCGCGCGGCCCGCTGACGCCCCTCGGCCCGGGCTCCTCTCCAGCGATCCCGAGTCTGTCAGACGGTGGGGCGTTCAGCCTTCGCGCGCCTCCTCTGCGCTCTCTCCTCCCCTTGTCCACATGGTGGCTGGTCGCTTTACTCGCGCTTCTCGCGCGCGCTAGCGAGTGGCCCCTTTATCTGCCGGTCTTCGATCCTGTCCCTCTTCTCCTTTGTCCCTTCGTGGGCTTTCTTCACGCTCCCCTGACTCCCCCTGCTTCCCCTCACTTCCTGGACAGCCCGCGGAGCTCAGCTGGCCTCACTGTAGGGCAGAGATTTCGCCCGAAGGAAAAGTGGAGGTGTCACATATGTCTGCCATGTGGGCAGACGCAGCCCCAGTTGCCGTTCTGCCTGCCCAAGGACAGGGCAGGTGAGTTCCAGGCAAACAGAGAAGGGCCGGGGGAGCCTTTACCCCTCCTGGGGCCACTGACCCAAGGAGCTGCGTAGCGGGCAGAAAGAAAAAGCACTCAACTAATTACCAGGGAGGAGGTGGTGGTGAGGCTTACTCGTCTTCTCTGAGAAGCACACGTGAAACATTAAAATTTGGCAATTAAAATAAAGGCAGAAATGAAAACCTTTCACCAACAAGCCAGCCGTGCATTGTGTATTCTGTTAAACAGCCTGCAAAGAGAAGGGCGGGCAAGAGATTCAGGTAAAGACAGCAAGGAGTTTCTGCAGAGGCAGGCGGAGCAGGAGGCAAAGGAAATGGGGAGAACGAGACCTTCGTCAGTTTTAAAGTGCTGCAGAAATTTCTCTTGTTCCCTTTTTGTTTGACATTCTCATTTAGTGATTCATTTGTTCACAATGCCTTTTAAAATAACAGTAGTAATGGATGCCCGCTGTAATAAGGCAAACAATATCTTGGCATATAAAGAAGAAAATGGTAACAGCCTTATGGTGGGAGAGGGGGTGACTGTAACATTCATAGAATTTGTGAGACGGAAGAGTGTTCCTTCCTCTTCATCCTGCTTCTTTCCTTTGGCCAGAGGGTTGATTGGATGTTGGAATTATGAACTTGACCTTGTTGGGTGCTAGTTACTTTTGTATGCCCAGAAATATTCTTGAACCATGTTCTGGAAGGCAGTTAAGGAACTTGGACACAGTTGGAGTCTTTGGAGTTTGTTTTTAACCTTTGTTGACAGAACCAGAAAAGACTTGAGGACCAAATTGTTCCCTGTCATTGAGGTGATGCACTTCCGAACACTCTACTGGATACCTTGTGAATTATGAGCCTTACCATTCCCACTGGTGGAAATAAACCGCTCTAGGCCTCGTGACAGCTCAAAGGGGTGTCCTCTGCTCCTTTTACAGGGCTCTTTTCCTGCTTTCCAGTCTTTTCCTGATAGCCATGTGCTGACCAGTTACCCAGCTGAAGACTCAAGGAAATCCTCCAGTGATCCAGTTCTCTCTCTCTGCCTCTCTCTCTCTAGCTCTCTGTTCTGTTCTGCTACCTCGAACCATGATGACTTCCTGTACTCCCAGCTCAGTCTTCTGATCCTAGGGAAACCACTGGGCTGCAATCTGGAAACTCTCTCCAGGCAGCATGCTGCATGCAATCGTAAGGCATATGCTCCCTGTTTCTCTGCTCTTAGGGATGGATCATTGTCCTGCACTGCCTGATAGCCATGTTTAAAACCTATTGCTTCTCTATTCTCTGTGCTTAGTTTTTTTCAGGCAGGAGAGTTAACCTTGTCTCTGTTGAGCCATTTTAGCTAAAGTTGGCGGGGCGATTGGACCTGATCCATGCGAGGCCAGTTAAGTTCTCTATCCTGGAATTGAGATTCTGCCCTGGGGACAGGAATGCACAGGAAGCTAGTGCACAAGACAAAATGAAGCAGGGAGAAGGAGCACAGAAAGGTGGAAAGAGTGTTAATGGTTTTGCAATTCTGTGAAAGTTCTTTCCTGAGATCCACCTATATTCCTGTCACTGTGATTTGGGGGACATCCCTGACTCCTTAGAGTAAAATCCCCTTTCTGGCTGAAGTGCATCCAAGTAGGTTTCTACTACCTGCACCCAAAGGATTCTAACTCATAGAGCACATCTTCAGGCAAAGGCAAGGCAATTGAAAGAGAAGGCAATCAAAAGGCAAAACACGGGAGCTCTTTGACCAATGGAGCATGTTCCGTTGGAAGGTGAGGATTTAGCCCCCACTAGCAGAATTTTCTTCCCCATGTGCAAAAGGAAAAGAATTTTGAGAGAAAAAGGATGAAAATTCTTTTGGACAATGAAGCAGATTGTCTCAATAAAATACACTGGTTTTCCTGGAGCATGAGACACCGAGGTGGAATGTGAGTGATGAGGAGAAGGGAAGAGATGGAGAGCAAACACTTGGAACCGTGTCCAGATGACAGAGTCCAAGGACTGGGCACCTCCCTGAGGGCCTAGTTTTGGTTAGAAGTTCTAGCTTTCTCATGGCACCAACGAATCGAGACATGTGATTTTCTCCAACACTGAACGGTCAGTAGTTGAGAAACAGGAGCAGGGAAATGAACAGTAGAATTTGTCACAATGATTCCCTGCGGCTGTACCCTGGCCGCCTGATGCCCCTGTAGCCACAGCAGCACCTTGGTCCTTCTCCACCGCTGAACACACACCACAGACACATGGAAACGTGCATGAAAGGCAGAAAAGCATGTCCCCAGCTGCTACACTCTACGGAGCTTTGAGTGCCTCAAGCTTCAAGAAGTTCAAGTAAATAAAAGAGCATTTTAACCCCTGAGGCTTAAGGGGAGTGTCAAGACTAAAGCTTTCAAGAGCACAGGTTCAGAAGATGAATATGGCTTCCTTGATTTGCCTGCTGCGCGGTCCCCTGTGACCAACTCCCCAGCCTTTGGCCATCAGGCTGGAGGGGCTCTGGTAGCCACTAGGGGTGGGGTTGGCCCAACAGTGAAAAATTGCTGTGAATTATACTTTTTATTTTCCTATATCTCACTGGTTCTCAACAAAGGAGATACTTCTCTTTAAGGAATATATAGGGAATATTCTGGAAATAAGGGGGCAGTTTGGGTTGTCATGATGACTGAGTGCCCTGCTGACAATGAGGGACATAGCCCAGGGATGCTAGATGTCCTAACATCCTACAACATCGACAGAAAAATGGAGAACTGTCTGTGATTTTCCAATGTTCCCCAGGACATTCACAGAGATGAAAACTGTATTTATACTTATCTGCATTGACAACCCGTTCCTGTGTTACAAATAAAATACAACGTATTTGTTGAATTTTCCAGGAACGTAACAACCATGTAATTTGAGGGAATGGTTGTTCGTTGTTTTGTTTGGAACTTTACCAGGAGTTTTTCACTCTTTCAGAAAATCAGGCACCATTGGAAATGTTGCTGGAGATTTTGTATTTGAGTTGCCAATACTGCACATGGTCTGTGCCTGCCTGCATCTGTGCTGGCACTCTGTAAGGGAGTTATAGCTGTTGTGGGCACATTATTGGTATATATGTTATGTCTCTTGGTAGAGTTGTGCTTGAGCACGTCCACATGGAAATAGGTATTTTCATTATATGTTGCATTCCATTTATTTCTCCTTTATACCACAATGAAGGCATTATGCTTATATTGTATTAGTTTGCTAGGGCCACCATAACTGAGTACCACAGACTGAGTGGCTTAAACGGTAGAGATTTTATCAGAGGCTAGAAGTCTGAGATCAAGGTTGGCAGTGTTGTTTCTTCCCAAGGCTGTGAGGGAAGGATCCATTCTATGCTTCTGTCCTTAGCTTATTGCTGGCCATCTTCTCCATGGGTCTTCATATTGCCTTCTCTCTTTATGTATCTGTGTCCAAATCTCCTTGTCTTATAAGGACACCAGTCATAATTAGAGCCCACACCAATGACCTCTATTTAACCTAACTACCTCTTTAAAGACCTTTTCTCCAAATAGGGTCACATTCTGAGGCCTGAGTATTAGGACTTGGTCATATGAGTTTGGAGGATGCATTTCATCCCATACAATTTGCTATGTAGATCCATCATACTATATATAAGTTTCATTTCAAAATAGCAAAGGGAGAATTAGAGGGAAGCATCTTACAAAATGAGGACTCTGAGCCTGATGGGGTTGAGAGCTACTGGTGTACTCCATCAGTAGGACAATGCAGTATGGTATGTCTCAGAGGTGAGTGTTGTTTCTTACCTCTGATCTCCAGCCCAACCTAGTTCACCCAGAACTTGCATGATGGAAAAAAATGGAGGGATATTGGGAATAGCAACCATCTGATTATCGGGTAAATGCAAGACAAGGGTTCAAATGAAGCAGACTTGGCTGTGGAGAAAAATGCTTAACCGACTGAGCCACCCAGTCGCCCCTGCTGTGGAGAAAAATGAAGAGGCCAGATGAGAGCTTTGCTCAAAAGCCTTCAATAGATCCTTGTTTCCAAACCCACTGTAATCAATGCCCCTCTACTTTCTCTACATCACTGCTCTGTAGACCATCTCTAACATGCTCTCCTGCTCTGTGACTAATTTTATAGCTTACACACAGAAGTCAGAAACAGCAGCATCAATGGGAAAATGACATGCAGAAGAATGAACCCAGACTCCGTTCTTAACCACACACAAAAAATAAACTCAAAATGGATGAAAGACCTAAACATAAGACAGGAAGCTATCAAAATTCTAGAGGAGAAAACAGGCAACAACCTCTTTGACCTTGGCTGCAGCAACTTTTTACTTGACGAGTCTCTGGAAGCAGGGGAAACAAAAGCAAAAATGAACTATTGGGACCTCATCAAAATAAAAAGCTTCTGCACAGCGAAGGAAGGAATCAGCAAAACTAAAAGGCAACTTACAGAATGGGAAAAGATATTGGCAAATGACATATCAGTTAAAGGGTTATTTCCCAAAATTTATAAAGAACTTATCAAACTCAACACCCCAAAAGCAAAT